AAGAGTCTAAGAGCCCACTGCTCACTTTGCTCCTCCAACAACAAGACCTGTGTCCACCTTTCTTTGTTGAGTGTGTCAAAAAGGATTTTTTGATTCAAGTTAATACGTATGTGATGCAGTTTTATTTGTTATGCTTAAGCAGACTTTATCTATTGTTTAATTGATCCTTTGTTCATCATTTAGTTTAAGAATAACTTAAGGCAAGCAATGATGTCATCTACCTTCTTTCTCTTGTACATAAAACACCACTTGACAAAGTTAAAGGTGCCATTGTAAGAATAAAAATCTCAATCAATCCCCAACTCCTGAAGCAACATGTATGATGTGTCCCTGGGAAAGACACTTAACCCTGAATTGCTCCCGCTGCTTCATTGGTGGTGTATATGTGTATGAATGTTATTAGTTACTTCTGAAGGTCACTTAGCAACCTCTGCCATCAGTGTGTGAATGGGTGTAAAAGTGCTTTGAGTAGTCAGAAGACTAGAAAAGCGCTTAACAACCTCAAGTCAAATTTATCATTTATCATTTACCATGGCTTATGTCCACTGGCTCCAGCTCATCATTTAGGTTACACCTAAAACATGGATTGTAATATAACGTTTTATACACTGACTGACTACATATCCAAGGTGTTCTGTGTTGAAAATGAACAGAAAAAAACTCCACAACAGGCAGATTATGTAGGGATTGTAGTGTCATACACAAGCTACTTTAGTGTATTCACAATAATATATGTATTATTTTGCTTTCTGTCTTATTTCTTTGACGTTCTTTGATTTGTTGCTGGATTTGTAACATGGCTGCTATAACAACCCCAGTTTCTAAATATTACAAAACCAATACAAACATGGTTGCCCTGTGCACAGCACCTTATATCTCGGCGCAGGCGATGGCAGGAAAAATGAGAAGATTCACCCAAACAAGCGGGCTGAATTACTTTTTATTAAATCAAACAACGCATTATACCCGCATGGCTTCATCTGGGTGGTTTTTTTTCTGATGAAGCATTGAAACTTATTATAAAACCATTATTCATCAGCCCACTCTCCTTTCTCTCTGTTTCTTTCTCTGCACAGATATTTTTTTAAACCCAAATATATGTGTGTTTTTTTTCTCCCATGGCTTCTTTCTTTTCTTTAACAGGACCCTCAACTCATCCACATCTATTCATTATTTCAGGTTGGTGGGCCTTTCTCACATGAGGGCCCAGTTTGTACTTAGTCCCTCTTTAACCTCCGTGCCTGATGCCCCTGAGCAAACTACTGAACTTCCTATCTTTTTTTACAGTTCTCTCTCTTTCTTTTTGCCCTCTTATGATCCAGCCTTGTACTCATCTTAATACTCACAGACAGTATATCATAGAGCCAGACAAACTAGATGCTTCATGTCACGTGTAATACATTGAGATTATTCCTCTCCCACATCCGGTTGGGTTTTGTTTGATTTGTGATGAAAGCATGTCTTTTGATCGCCCTCTCATTTTTGATGTAACGGATCAAACGTTGACGTGATCAAAAGAGTTTGCGTGAAATAAATGGGCAGCACTTTGCAGTTTGAGGATGTTATTGTCTTCCATCTTAATTCCCTTAGTTTTACGAGCTTCCTTCATCATACATCATAACACTCAATCAATCAGATGACTGTCATTTACTAACACAAAGACGTGTTGATGATAATTAGATTGAGCTGAGCTGTCTATTGATGATTTTTAATGATAATAATGAGTAACAGAAAGTGGAGGAGTATGCATTGCAATGATTTAACTCTGTCCTTCCATCCATGTATAGCATCTACACCTATCTATCTGTGTACCTCATAATGTGTTGTAAGATGCTTGAATCTGAATGTAGATATTTTTTTATCTTTCAGGCTTCAGCAATTCAGAGGATGTTGACTTCAGTTTAGTCTTCTTTATGAGTCTACTGACCTTTTCTATTCAATGTTGGGACAGTGGACTAGCATTGTCTGCACAAAATTAAAAACAAATGGACAGGGTTGTTAAACTAGGTTGGAAGATAAATGGTAATTAGACTTAAACTTGTCTAGGGCTTTTCTAGCCTTCTGACTACTCAAAGCGCTTTTGCACCACAGGTCACACCTACACGTTCACACACTGATCGCAATCAGTGTTAACTAATCCCATTCATACGCATTCATATGCCGCCAACGAATCAGCGGGAGAAACTCTGGGTTAAGCCTGGTACACACTACACGATTAACACATTAAACGATTTTGATAATGTGAGAGACCCCACGCATGACAACAATCCTGACCGATTAACAGTTCAGATCTCATAGTGTGTAGTGTGCAACGAAACGATCAACTCGGCACACCACAGTGCCACACTACCCGATTCATTCGCCGACAACCAGAGTCTCGACTATCACAAAGTGTAATCTTGCGCGGTCAGATGCGATTTAAGAGTAAACAAACATGACGGGTAGCTAAATGTGGCTAGCTGTTAGCTGGTACATCCATTACAGTAAACATTTTGATCCTTTCCTTGTCAGTTGGATTGTGGTTTGTTTTACAGGACACGTTGTAATATAACTTGTGTTGTTGCCACAAATCAACAAGTTGGTCCTGAATTCATGACCATCCATTTAACTTTATGCTTCAAGATTGCTGTTGTCGCCATGGTAATGTTTGTTGTGCTTCCTGCTACAGTCAGCTTGCTTCCTGATTGGCTATTGTTCCGTTCTACCTGACAATTCACAGAGTCCGTGCTCGGCCGTCCTCAGTGTTCTCCCCACACCACAGGATTTCCGATCGTAAATATTGAACACGTTTAATATTTACGATTTCAAATCGGGGCGGCCCCAATCATCAGCAGATCGTTAAAATCACTCCTTACACACCTCACACCATCTGAGAATCTGGCAGGATAATCTTTGGAACATCAGATAATCGGGCCTTTGCTGACTTTCGTCAGAAGGGGCGAATCGGGCCCAAAATTGGCCCGATTATTTTGTAGTGTGTCCCCCTCATTAAGTGTCTTTCCCAAGGACACATTGGACATGTGGCTGCAGGAGCTGGGGAATCAAACCACCAACCCTCGGTTGAGAGACGGCCAGCTCTACCAACTGAGCCACAGCCACCACAGAAAAGTAGGAAACTACTAGATGGTATTTTGTACATGACAGACCAGTACACACTGAATGTAGAGACCCACTGCATCCCCATTGGTGTGAATATGAACTTTTGACTTCAGGGAACAGGTATAGAATGCCCAGGATGAGGACTTAAAGAGCTATCACATCCACAATTTAACAAGCTCTTTTAATACAGTATGGACTAAGCACTCAGCCCTTTATTGGAATTTCTTCTTGACATACCACATCTGTAATCATGTGATGCTTTAATGATGTATATTAATGAGGTTAATTTGTTTTTAAGGACATTTGAGACGTGATATGTCATTTATGTTGTTATGCCCTTGGTGGGAGGAGTGACAAAGGTTTCATTAATTAATTAAATCATTCATCCATTCATTTATTCATTCATCCATCCATTCGTTCATCCATTCATTTATTCATTTATTCATTTATTCATTTATTCACTCACATGGCATCAGTTCCTCACTGTCTTCCTAATCTTCTTAAATACAAATTCAATCAAACTCTTAGGATTGCTGTTGGGTATCCCTCTGTTTTCTCTTTAATTACATAAAAATGTATTCAATTCAAAACACTGAGAGTGAAGTTGAACATTGTTTGGTTTGGGATTCATCAAAACATTGAACAAAAGCTCTTTCAAATGCGAATATGGAAATGTAGCTCACTTTTTAATAAAATGTTGTTATATGTAACTATTAAAGTTTACAGCTATTTGTTTCATAATCCTTTACAGTCAGCCTAACAGCAAATCCCTTTTTGAGAACTCCATAGACTTCCAGTGCTATTTTTATCTCTTTCCATTTCAGGGTGAATCTAAGACAGCAGTCATGTAACTCGACTGAGCAGTGCCAATTCTACGCAGGTTAATTGGATCACTCTTTGAGTTTCCAGAGACATGCATGCACTAGTGATGGCTGGCTGTCGGATTAGGACCGTAGCCGACAACAAGGAATCACTACCATGCCAAGCGACAATATTGGGTTTCAAATCATTGATGATTTTTTTTTAGAAATAAGAATGAAAACTTCAAAAGTCAAGCCCTGTCTTAAACAGGCTTACATATTTAAGACTTAAGGCATGAAATGAGTTGGAAGGCAACCTGTTCAGTGACCACATAGCACTTTTTCTGTACAATTTTAAAAGTCCAGATATTTCAAAGGTTGCAACGCCAAAGATGAGACAGAACATATTTCAAGTCAAAAACATGCAGGTGATGTTTCTTCTTTCGAAAAACAACTCTTCCCTGGCACCCGGCGCTCTGTGCATTGCTCAAATTCAAGGTTGAAGTTTGCCCAGAGCTGGCACTAACATTTTGTACAGATACCGTTCCAAAAACTCTTCAGGGAACATTCTTGCATTCACTTTTAAGAAAATATGTGCTTTCAAATAAACAAAATCAAAAATGAACAAGGGTAAACTCTCACAGCTTGCAATTTATTGTTTGTCTATTAATGCTTTTTTTTTTAAAGGGAAATTCATTCTGAGACTTATACAGTTTTTTTTTCTGTGACCCACTTTTACAAAAATTAGAGGTTGAGCAATTCAGTTTGATCAAGGGCTTGTTATGTTGAGCCATAAATCAGGAACAGTGTTTATCCATTAATGATGATGAGATACTCATCGCAGAAGTCACCTCCTCTGTTTGATTTTTATTCATGAATTCATTTGAAATGTGAGTAAGACAGAACGAGAGAGTGTAATCTGATTAGCTGGATTACACCTAGGCTATATACTGTCGACGTAAAACAATTAATTAACTTAATAAGGAAGGGCGATACTATATTTAGGGCACTTATAAATAGCATGGAGTCATTCCTGGCTTGATGCTTTAAAAAAAAAAAAAAAAAAGCATAACGTAATTTTTGTGGATTTATTGTTATTCTCAATCAAAACAATAACAGTTAATTATGTATGACTAAATAGCAGAATGATAAGTAAATACATGCAATAAATAAGGTAAGCTATGTCAACCCTAGGCTATAAATGACACTCATGTCTTCTTTATGTGCTCATGTCTTCTTTATATGCATCTCCAGTTAGACGGACAGACCAAAACATATCACTAGTGCTCTTACAATCTGTTGATTTCAGAGTTATATAAACATGATTTACTGAGAATGATTTAATACACGTTTGGATGGGGGAGAAAACCACTGAGACCAGAATGGAGCTTGCTACCTGAAAAAGCCATGCTATCAATGGCAACCTACGGCTAAAAACAACAGCAACACCGATTGGATCATCGATCGGCTCTCTCATTGGCTGGCTCGTCTGTCAGTCAGGTACTGCAGTCTGTGGTTCGTTTAAACCCATCACTCTACGCACAGGCGACTAATCTTCGTTGAGGGTAAGCTTTAGGATTGTGTCGCAGCGTCTCCCCCCCCCTGAGGCGCCGACAGGGCATCTATTGGAATACAAGTTCCCGTTGGAAAGAAGCTCCATCTTCGTCCCCTTCTTACCCAGGGGCGACCGCACGGAGCATCGAAACGTGTAAATGGAGTTTCAAGCGTGGTCGTGACTGTCCTTCGCCGCCTCTCATCCAGCAGAAGACTGCGTTGAAGTTGCAGCAGCATCCTTACCACCGCGGCTCTCTCCTCTGCAGTCATGGGCACCGTCCTCTCCATATCCCCGGCGTCGAAGAGGGCGTCGATTATGGACGCAGGAGAAAGCGCAGGAGATGGATTCAAACCCGATAAGAGCCTCAAGCGGCACTCGATGTTCGTCGCTCTCTCCTGGAAGAAGCTGGTGGCCAGCTCGGCCAAGAAGAGTGCCAAGAAAGTGACCCCTAACCCGATGCCCACGCGTGATCTCCCGTACACCCAGATCTCACAGCTCAACAGCGTGAACAACAGGAAAACGCATCAGAATGAGGAGAAGAAACCCAAAGCGCCGATCCCTGTCCCGGTGCCCACAGTGCCCACGGTGCCCACAGTACCCAAGCATAGCAACGAGATAGTCGTTCAAAACGGGAGGCTTTCCTCGGTGCAGAAGCAACCCAGCAGCCAGTCTCTGGCGTCACCGAGGCGGGTTATTATTCAGGCTTCAACCGGGGAGCTACTGCGCTGTTTGGGGAACTTCATGTGCCGCAGGTGTTTTAAACTGAAAGAGTTAAACAGCGGGGAGGTGATCCTGTGGTTCCGGAACATTGACCGGACTCTCTTGCTCCAGGGCTGGCAGGATCAAGGCTTTATCACGCCGGCTAACCTTGTGTTCGTTTACCTGTTGTGCGAAGACACGATAGAGGACAGCATCGCCAGCGCGGCCGAGCTGCAGGGCACCTTTCAGACTTGCCTTTACCTCGCCTACTCCTACATGGGCAACGAGATCTCCTACCCACTCAAGCCGTTCATGATCGAGGCGAACAAGGACGTTTTCTGGGAGAACGCGCTCCGGATCATCAGCAGGCTGAGTGCCAAAATGCTGCAGCTCAATGCAGACCCGCACTTTTTCACCGAGGTCTTCCAGGACCTCAAAAACCAGCGAGAAAGCAGCGAGTCAAACCTGGACCGCTGACATTGAAACAAAGAAGACACTGGTGTTTTATAAAATAAGATGACCACATAAGGGTGGTTTTGAATGTAAAGGCCAGCGTTAAGGCTTCACATGTCTGGGCTGATTCTCTCTCTCTCTCTCTCTCTCTCTCATGATATAACTAAAGTGTGGTGTTTAGGCTACAAGTATGAGATTTCATAAATGCATGCAAATGGTGTATCGTCCTCTTTTGTCTCGTCCCCCGAGTGGCAGAGGGATTTCATTCATGATTAGCCCAGTTTGTGGGTCAGTGAGAGGATGTCGCAGTGAAGTGAGCTTCCAGGCAGGATCAGAATAGATGCTCTTGTGTGTGTGTGTTTGTGTATGTGCGTTTGCTCAAAAGGAGAGGTGGAGCTGTCCGAGGTGCTGACCTGTGCAGCCATTTCCTCTACCTTCACTGCTATGCGAGTCACTTCGCCACAACAGAGTCAAGCATGGCTTAAGAGGACAGAAATAAGCCCAGTACACTTTCAGGACATAAGCCTAAGCCTCCTACAGGTACAGGTTCACGTTCACGCTAAAGGCCTTTATTGTGCTTTTAAGTTCTTTGCATGTCAGTAAACATGCAACAGATATCAAGAAACATGGTTCTTTATGAGGGCAATACATTCTCCATGGTATACATGTAGGTACTTTAGGATTACTGTAGATCAAAATGGGTATATTTCATGCTGTATCTTTGCACCTGGTTGGAAGATTCTGTTTTTTGAGATTCTTTGTGTAATGACAACTGCACATTTATTCACAAAAAAAACACCTCATCATGAATTGAAAAAAGTTATTTTTTTGCTTGCAAACATGATTTCGCGGAGGCACGTTACCTGTAGGTTGGCAATTGAATGAAAAGGTAGGGAGCAGAAATGCAAATTTCCCCCTGGAATGTGATAATCTGCACTAAATGCAATCTAAGGCCTCGGTTGTTTCTAGACTGCAAACACATTGCAGTGGCCATCATAACTAGAGACTAAATGGAATGTAGAAGGTTTTTTTGTTATGTAATATGTGCCAACTATTAAATACTTTTGGCCTGGAAATGTATGGTTTACATGTAAGTATTTCAAATTTTAAATAAGCTCTTGATCTTGTTTGCCTGTTTCTTGGAGATGGCTGTAGTTCATGCACAACACAAAACAGATGTTTTGATGATGGTTTTTTTTGTTTTGTTTACCCTGCTCTGAGAATTTGCTGTTGTATACAGTTTGCTGGGTTCAGTTCTCTTTGAGTCAATGAAGAAAGAATGTTTCCTCACAATGTATATATTGAATGTGTATGTCTCATCACTAAGAGACGGAAGACTATCATTTGCACACATCTATAAGCAAAAAACCCTGAAAACAAGCTCATAGGACAAATCATGGCAGATATTATTCAGTATTTAGCGATCATTGTGAAGTGTTGTGCTACCATCGCTTGGAAAGTGGAATATATTGCTGCTATTTTGCACAGCTGTGAACAAATCTTTGATGTTTTGCACAGTGATATGACATAATTGCTTGTGTCCCAGTGTTTCCTCTATGGCACTGGAGTGTTTGCCATTATACGTTCGCAGTAAGTGTCAGCAAGTCTCACTCTAGGATGATCATATGTGGATTCAATCTTTTGTACAGTTCGTTTTTCATGAATGTCAACTATGAAATGTGATATTTAGATGTGTGTGTTTGCCTGTGGTATTGCACCGCAGTTGCATTCACTCTCTCTACATGTTAAGTAAAAGACCAATACAGTAATTGTTTATGGTGACCATGATGAAATAAATCCATACTCATGTAGGATCTCTTATTTCTTGACTTGTTTTCTTCATCTCACACTTAGTGTCAGTCTTTATGTGTTTGTTTGTTTCTTTGGTTACTACCTACCTACCTACTGTGTGTGTCTCTTCATGAATGAGTGATCATGTTTGTGCAAACCTTCCAGGTAGCCGTAGCAGTAATTAACTTGGACATCCTCTTATCCACACACACCACACACTAATCCTGTGATTTGCCAGGGAACCCTTGGGACATGGTTATGCAATAGAACTAAGCCCATGACAAATATACTTACAGTGATGATACTATAGGTTGCCATGAGGCTAAGACTTATGAGACTTCATTGGTTGCCTTGAAACTAAAACTAATCAGGAAGAAGTATTCCGACATTGAAAAGTGTTTTAAGCGACAGATTTGTTGGAGATACAGAAGTACAGATACATTTAATAGTTTTTAAAGCCTGACAGGTTTATTTCAGATATATAGCCTATCTGTGAAAACAGACACACTGCATCTTGGAAAATGTTGCGACTGATAAGAGTGCGCCACACACTGAGCAGAGTAAAGTAGGTTGACACATAAAAGCATATTTTTGGTATCCTGTGTGTCCTGGGTATTCGAATCAGGGCCACATACTGAAATGAGAACACAGAAACCAAACAGGAAAAAGGTTAATGTGAGAAAAAAAGTCAGGAGGAGTATGCCTGCATCAATCTGCTATCTCTATGTTTTATAAAATACTTTTCAGATATATTAAAATAAATACTTGACTTGAGTTAATTTACCTTTAAATGTAACAGATTTCAAAAAGCTTTTAGTATATATATGACATGCTGTAGAGAGGGAGAGAATGGAGCTGAATTGATTTGGGTTTTCTCCTGTTTTTTTATTTTTTTTATGAATAAACCACGTGGGCTGAAGGGTTCCTTCATGTGATTGGTTAGAATCTGCTGCAGTCTCAGAACTGTCTGTGACTCTCTCTCCCCTCTCTCTCTCTCTTTCTCTCTCTCTCTCTCTCTCACTGTCTTTCCCCTTCTCTCTTTCTATCTTATAGGACATACAGAATCTATTTATAGAACAATAAAGAAAGAATCTTGACAGAAAGGGAACAACAGTGAAATAGTTTGAGAAGGTACACAAAGTGGAAAAAAATGTTCACATCAGGGGAAAAAGGCTCACATTTCAATTTCACTTCAATTTTCTGGCTTTTTATGCTGTCTTGTGTTTATCTTGTGATCAAAACGGATGGCATAATAACATTTCATTTAATCAAAAATTAAAAATGACCATTTAAATGTCAGTAATCACAGTGATACTCCTTTTACACATCTTCCCTAAATTGATCATATTTCTGTTTTAAGCTAAACGTGTTCTTAAGAATCTCAATCACCATAATGTGTGTTTTGACATTCATTTAGCATGTAATACAAACAGCTTAACTTCTCATGGAAACAGCTACATATTCAGTGAAATGGTCTGTTAGGTCAAAAGGGTTAGGGTAGATGTTTCAGATGTTTCAGTTCAAAACATCTGGAGTGCTGGTTAATCTGTAGTAGTGGTTATGTCATTGTTTTGATATTTGTCTGAGCTTATGTGCATTTGTTTGTTGGATTTAAATGTTTTTATATGTTGATCCATCTTCCAGGGTCATGGTGGACAAACTGGGCTTATGTGCTGTGCGTATTCTTAATTCTTATGTATGCTAATGTGCTTACGCAATTGCGGAGTCAGGATTTTTATGAGGCAGGGGCAACAATTATTAAAAGGGCACCATGTGCAGGCCAACTTATTTACCAGCAGGGCAGCCTGGAGGGCACTGCATTGCATTTTCTCCACCGAAAGAGCACACTATAGGACACATGCCCTCTGGAGGACACATTACAAGTTTTTTTTTTCCCCACAGGAAGGGCACCCTGCAGGGCATGTTACCACTAATTGTCCACTGGATGGGCACCCTGGAGGGCAAGTGACAACATTTTGGTCATCGGAAGGTCGCCCTGGAGAGCACTTCATCACGTTTTGTCCACTAAGAGGGCACATGAAGGGCATCTTATTAGGTTTTATCTACCTCATACAAGATGGCACTTTTGCAGCTTTTTTTCTCGAACATTTGGGCCCGATGTCATTTTAAATGATGTCATTTTAAATGACATCAATATGGGGTTCTCCATGAAAATGAGCCTGTATTGGTAAATCTGATGAATTTTCTAGACGGCCCCTAACCCTTGTGTTACAAATTTGCATTACACCTTTAAAAAAAAAAAAACCACAATGGTCATGATGCTTGAAACAGCAGCCTTGTAATACGACATGTTTTATTTCTGTTCCCTAAGTCTTCAAAGGTTGATTTGATGGCAGAATCCTGCAGCAGCGTTACGTAACAGCCTCCTAGTGCAATGATGTGAGTCTTCTCTTTATTATTAAGATTCAGCCCAGGTCTCCTGCATATCTGTCTGCCAGCCTGTTTTCAGCATTCTTGTCCCCTGCGTCTCTATAGTAACGGGTAGGCAAGTGAATGAGAGCTAGACAAAGTGTGCAGTGTAGGACTGAGCGTGGGCTGAACCACTGCACAACACTCATACCCACACTGCAGTGAGTGATCAATAGACGACATACATGTTTGTGAGAGTCTGTCGCTGCAGACATGTGTCTCACTCCTCCACATCCAGATACTCAGTCTGTTACCTCTGCCTTGGTACTGCTCTGTTTCTCACTCCTCTGGATTTGTGCTCCTCTCATCAGTAATGAAAGAGGAGAAAAATAACCAATGTTTGACTGTCGCCTTTATTTAAGCACAAACATCTTCTCTTTTCTTATTGGCGTTAACATATTGAACAGCATGTGTTTTTTGTTGAACTGACTTATTACTACCTCAATTGAACTGAGGACACAGACTGTGGTCAGAAACCTTGATACATGCCAGAGTATATGGAAAAATGTCTTATTGTTTATGGTTAAAGAATCCAGGAAGGGGATTCTTATAGTGGTTAAAATCCATGGTCTTTACCTGATACAGTTATTTCAAAGAACTGCACTGAAGTTCTGTATTTTATGAAGTTACTCTCTTAAACACGCCATGTGTTTTAGGGTAATGTGTCAAGAAGAGCTAAAAAAACAGCAAGTTCACAAACCATCTTGTTGCAAAGCAGTTATGGTATAACAGTGTATGTGTAAAGTCAGTTGCTACGTTGAACCTATTCTAAATAAACTAAATGTTTGTCTGAGGGGATTTCATAATATCAACCCAAGATTTGACCACGGTTCAATGAATTTATTGCCAATGCATCCAAAAAAACTGCATGCAAGGGATGGTTTGGTTAAGAAGTCTGATAAGTATACAACAGTAAGGTTTGAGTAAGCATGGTTCTATTCAATAAAATCTCCTGTGTAGAAAGCAACGGGAAACTCTGGTGTTGAAAAATGATGCCAATCAAAAGTGCAAAAACGTGTAGTTCCTTGAGTGTCCACTTGAGGCTGACTGCATATTACCTAGAAATACACAAACCATATCAACTCAATTCAATTAAAAAAAACTTTATTTGTCCCCGGGGGGCAATTCAAAGGCACACAGAGCAGTAAATTAACAACAGTGCAGGTAGATGTCATTTCATCGGCTGAAATAAACATGTTTACAGCCCGGTAAAACTAAATTGGTTTATGCATTTATTGGAACACACTATACATACTATGGGGGAGGGGTTATATAATTTATATATTTTGATTTTCTGAAGAATAGGTTGAAAAGTTAATTTGAGACAGCCTTTCCAATATGGAGAGCTCCATCGATTGGCTTTCAAATTGCATTTCAGAAACCAATAGGTGATGTCACTGAGACTCTGTCCATGTACTGTATATACAATACAGTCTGTTGAGGAAAGCAATAAAAGACACAAAAATGAATTCTAGGAACTGTTTGCTGTTGTCTGAAGACAATTTAGATTACGGTATTATGAATCTCTATAACTAGATGAATGAGATGAATCAATTGACAATTTGGTGATTGTTGTTGTCTCTCAGACTTAACTTTGGTCCCATTCACCTGAAACACTTGTCTTCAGCCCCAAAACCTGTGTAGTAATCAGAGGATTGATGATGGTTTCTGAGATTGAGAATAACTAAATAGACATTGTGAATTTTCTTCTTTTTAATTTTTTTTTTTTTAAGTATAAACAATCCAAATACTAGAGTAGGACTTGTATAGTTTATAGTTTAATTCGCTTCTTCTAGGAAGAGGATGTTCTGTAACCGACATCCAGCAGCTTCACATGAATGGAAAAGACCAAATCTAGAACAACTGAGGAAACACACGTTAGAGATTATGTCTATTTTGCTGTCGTCTTTGCTACATAACAACCCTGCTAATCTCTTAAACTAGTTTACATCATAAGAGCGTTGCACTGAGAGGAAACTGGTCACCACTTTTACACTTTCTGAGGCTCAGAAGGAAAACTCAGTCAAAGAATCTTCATTCAGTTTATTGAAAAGTGATGTGTCATCCATACCGTCATGTTACATTATAATATAAATGTAACATAACTTTACAGTTCTGTATGTCTATATATATAGATTTTATATTTAGCATTAAGCTATTATACAACATTAAAGAAATACAGAACCAATTCCTCTATTCACAACACACCTACACATCATTATTGTTATTTTTTCCTCTTTATTCACAATGAATCACTTCACACCACATGAATCTGCATGATAATTCTTCTATACAGTGTGAGGAAACAGCCACAAATCCAGGACTTTGTAGCCTATAGGTGTCTAAATCTCAAAATTAAATGTAATAAATTAACATTTGAATAGCAAGTTATCACCTGTTTCGTGTTTTCAGACTTTAATATTGTCATTTTTTTAAATAATTGAAACTTTATTGACTTGTATGGCGTGAAAGTCGGAGACAAGTATGGTGGGGAAAAGAACAAGAAAAATGGGGGAAACATAACAGACATTAAAAATGCATGATAAAAAGAAGATACAATACTGCTGAAAGCATCATCATGATTACATTTAATATGTAAT